AGATGCTATTCACCAAGGTAGAATGTAGAACATTTTCTTTATCAACTGTGTTATGCCAATTGAGCTAGATGTTCCCCGAGACCATGGTTTGGGTTTGGTTTTTGAAGCTCCACGGGTGATCGGATGCACAGCCAGACTGGGAACCACAGCTAAAGCCAGATCCATATGCTTGGTGGGTGGAGGATATAGTGGAGAGGAGGCGGATTGTGGGGAGCAGGGGGAGAAGACCTGGAGGGGCTGATACCTCACACTTACCTCATCATCCCAGGTAACATCCAAGCACACATTTCTCCTCAAACCTGACAAGTACTTGAACAAGAGCAGAGAGATCCAGAGTTATTTCAAAGACTTGTAACATCTGAAATACCTTTCCCAGGTCACGTTGTGTGACAGTAGATATCAAGTAGGTCTGGGCATTAATTAAAGAGGGCCAGTATATTGATCCCCATGTAGTGGTTGCCATATGCTGGTTACCACGTCTTTAAAAGAGTTAACACTTGCCGCTTCACACCATCTCTCAGGGCCAAAACTTGAATAAAAAATAGCACTTCTGTAGGGGCTCCTGGTTAGTGAAAGCATTTTTCTCTCCATGCAGACCTTGTTTGTGGCGACCAAGGTCGGAGATAAATTGTAGAGGCCAAAACTGAAGAAAATTCGTTATTCCACACCACCACCTGACAGTCTAGCTGTTTAAAAAAAAAAATAACTCCCGGTGCCGTGGAGTCAATTCCGACTCATGGCAACTCGATGTGTGTCAGAGTAGAACTAGGCTCCAGAGGGTTTTCTTGGCTGTAATCTTTACGGAAGCAGATCATCAGGCTTTTCTTCCACAGCACTGGTTAACCTTTAGGTTAGCAGTCGATCGCAAAATGCTTGCGCCACTCAGGGACCTTAGGCTGAGCCCAGGGAACCAAAACACCCAACCTGCATGTGGAACACACCAGACCCTGAGTTGAGAAGGATATTCAGCTCCTGGGAAAGCCTGAACCCCGATCTGATGACTTCCTTCTCCACCCTTCTTAGGGAGGCCCCCTGCCCTCCTATTTCTCATTGCAGCCTGCCCTGCAGCCCAGCCCTCCTAGCACCTTCACCGCTGTTTCTTCCATAGTCCCTCCCTAACACTACATTTACTTTGCTTACTGTTGGTCTCCCTCAACCAGAATGTAAGCTCCATAAACGAAAATCGGGCAGAGATTTCTGCCGTTTTGTTCCTGAGTGTATTTGAATGAATGAATGAATGAGCATTCATGTATTACTTCCATAATCCTCTCCCCTGCCCCCCACCCCCCTCTAGGTCTAGCTGGTGCCCAGGGCCACTCTGGTCCAGCTGCTCCCTGAGCCTAGCCGGGACCCACTCACGCAGGGAGGAGGGGCTGCGCAGCCTGGGAGGACAGTTTCTCCTCTCCTCCCCTCTAGCCTTCAGGCCTAGGAAGCCCCTCTATGGAGCAGATCCAGTGGGGCCAGTGCCCTCCAGGGGCCACTGAGGCTCAAGCACGAGCGCAGGTGTCGGTTTCCTCCGTCAAAAGGGAAGGGAAATGATCATCTGGTTATCTTCCAGCAGCTTCCATTCTTCATTCCTGTTCTCTCACCCCTCTCCCTGTCAGAGTGGCAAAGTCAGAGATCTTTGAGCCGAAAAGACGTACTGCAACATCCTGATTTTTCAGATGAAGAAGCTAAGGTGCAGATCAATAAAACAACTTGTCCAAGATTTGTTTGCCTTTCTCTCTCACACACACATACCGCAGGTGAGAGTCCCAAAGACTGAAATACAGCAAAATAACACACCAAGGGAAGCTTCGGGAGAATTGGGAGACTCAGGGTTGAGAAAGAGGGATGGACCAGCTCACCCCCGACTCCCTCGCTCCCCCCACATGAACTTCCAAGAGCCAAGGACTATGGACCTACATTGTTTAAATTGACACTAATCATGATTTTGTAAGGAGGGTCAATGCCACCATTTAAAGATCACATGTGGCTGCTTTCACAAACAGAAAAGGAAGATGAGGACTGAATGTGACCCCGCCCCTAACTCCTATGCTGGAGCCCCTGCCCCTGTGGCACTCTGGTGTCATTACCACTGCAGACCCAGAGATGGCACACACCCCTTGTCCCACCCAACAGCATGGGATGGAGGCTCGCCTTCAGCTGCCCCCTCAGAGTGCTCCAGGTAAGGGGCACACACCTGTCCCTGTTATCACGCTGCCAGACTCCAAGGGTCACACGTCAAGGTCTCCTTCCTCACCTCACTTCTAAACTAGCAGCAGGGATTAACATTTGACAGCCGACGTTACATAAGACAGCTTGCCTGGAAATACTGGCCAAAACAAAACACACTCCACTCAACTACAGTTCCAAATTGGTGAGGAATGCTTCCAAACAGGAACCAGGTATAACGGTGGAATCCTGTCTGCCTTCAGCCTAGGCTCCTTTAGAAAAAGGCCTCCTCAATAAACAATCCAGCTGGGGGCGGTGGTTTTAGATCAGGACCCGGAAGTAACATCACCTAGTCTCTTATCGATGATTTTGTCATGTATGTTCAAGGATGACAACTGATTAACAGGCAGTTAATCATTTCCAGAAATGCACACTTCAGGTCTAAGGTACGTCCTGCCTCCACCCACCAGCTCTCCTACTGTTGCTGCACAAAAGACAGGTCTCTAAGACCTAACATTTTTCCTCGGCTGGGGTGAGGCCAGGGAAGCTGGCCTGCTCCCTGGTCACTGTTTGTATAGGGACCCAATTACCCAGTTACTATCAAGCCAACTCCAACTCATGGTAACCCCATGTGTGTCAGAGTAGACCTGTGCTCCATAAGGTTTGCAGTGGCTGATTTTTCAGCAGATTGACAGGCCTTTCTTCCAAGGCATCTCTGGGTGGACTCGAACCTCCAACCTTTCTGTTAGCAGTCATGCTTGTTAACCACTGTTCAAAAGAGATAATATGTAGCATTTTTAGTCATTTCCATTTTGAACATGGCCAGTACCCGCAATATTACAAGTATGCAGTATTACCAGTACACATGTATACCTACACTGTAAATTACCCCCAGTTTACCACCCTCCCGTCTCAAGGGGAGCACACTTTTTCTGGTTTCCTAGGTTGTGGGTTAAGCAACAATTGATGCTTCTTTCCAATGATTTTCTCTGTTGCTGCTGACTTGAGTTCAAAAGTGTGTTCTTCTACTCCTCACCTCCATCAGGTCAGAGACTTAACTGGTAGTAGGTTCGGAGCCCCCCCCCCTTCTGATCTGTTTCAAATTTGCAGGCTGCAGAGACTGGGAAGAGAGCCCCAGTGTACACCTCTCACTTGCAGGATGCATTGTGTTTGCTGCGTCAATGACGAGCACCAAGCATCACAAGATCCAGCTGGCACCCCTTCTAAGTGGGAGGAAGCAGTGCTAGCACAGTTGCCAGAGAACCATGGGCCACGGCCCCCAGGAGCACCTGAGCTAAGAGACGGCACCAAAGGTGTGTGGCTGCCTCACTGGGCCATCGACATCACTGTGTACATCTTACCCCACAACTCCCACTTCTACTCGTAATAGAAAAAGGGAACATAATGTCATCCCAAGGACCCGAGAAAGCAAAGGCAGAGACAAACTGCTATGTCAAGTTACTTTTTTTGCTCTGAAAAACCAATTTTAAAAGTTAACTTACTGGGATACCAAATTGTATCTCAAGTAAAACCTCAACTCTCTCTCAAAAAAAGAAAATAAGAAGGAAACGTCAAAATATTAACAAGGGTGACTTCTGGGTGACTCCCATCTCCAGCCCATTTTTCAATTCACTGCAGCTCACTACCTTTGTAGAATGAGCACTGGTTACCTTTAGATTCAGAAAATAAACATAACGAACTTCCAGAAATTAACCAACTAATTAGAAGCGAAATCAGATCATCACTTCAAACATTCTAAAATTCAACAGAATAAATCTCAGATTATTTTCTCCTCTTTCTGATTCCAACTTTAGAGAGCATCCACTCATAAATAAACTGTCTATACTTCCATATAAGTGTTTCGAGGGAGGATGCACCGATGCTCACACAGATAATACTGAAATGCTTGTTTAAGAAGCTCATCAAAAAGAGGGTTTAGCCATGAGAAACTATTTGTTCTGTAAACCTTCATCTAAAGTACAATTAAAAAAAAAAAAAAAACTTAAAAAAGAGGGTTTAGACTATTAAAATGTTCACATCCCCAAGTTAAAAATGTGTTGTTAGTCAGAACCAAAAGGTGGAAACAACCTAAACGTTCATGAACAGATGAACGGATGAAGACAACGCAGTGTATTACAGACCGCGGAATGTTACTCAGCCGTAAGGAGAAATGACGTCCTGACACACGCGACAACACGGATGAACCTTGAAACCATGACGCTGAGTGAGGTGAGTCAGACACAAAAGGACAGACACTGTATGATCCTACTTAGATGAAACAGGCAAATGTACAGACACCAGATCTTATTAGTGGTTACCTGGGATGAGAGAGAAAAGGAGAGTCACTGCTTAGAGGGCACTGAGCTCCTGTTAAGGGTGATGCAAAAAAACTGGAAACAGAGAGCGGTTATGGCTGCACATGATGAACATAATCAATGTCACTGCACTGTACATGTGAACATTACTGAATTGGCATATTTTGTTATATATAAATTTTACCACAATAAAAAAAAATGTATACTGAATACAACAGCAAACATATTTCTGGAGAAGAATCGGCACATGTGTATTTTCTTTTACAGAAATCAATTTACAAGCGTCTGTCATGGCCCGTTTGAGGCCACTGGTCCCAGGCGTCTTCACCTCAGCCTCTGTGCACAGGGGTTCCCAGGCTGGGCAGAAGGCAGGTCTCATCAAGGGTCCACACTCTGGGTGTTGTCACTGTTTTCACTGAGCCTGGGACGTTTGAGCTCTGGGTGACAGCACTGAGGGTCTCCAGGTACCTCTGAAACATGAAGAAGCATAGGGTTTGCTAATAAACAAAGACTTCTTTAAACTAAGAACTGACATTTACAAAATAGAGTGCCAAGATAAGGAATCAAACTGCCTGGCAAGATCCTATGTTGATTCAAGGTGAAGGATTTATACCAGTGGGTCCCAGCTGGAGGCAATTTTGCCCCCAGGGGACATCTGCATCTGGCAATGTCTGGAGACAGTTAGGACTGTCATGACTGGGGGTGGGGGGGTACTGGCATCCAGTGGGCAGAGACCGGGGATGCTGCTAAACATCCTATACTGCACAGGACAGCCCCTACAACAAAGAATTATCCAGTCCAAATGTTAACAGTGCTGAGACTGAAAACCCCTGATCTACTCATCTCCTGCACCCACTATCTAGCTCACAGTGACTGCTTTTACTGGTAGGAGGGTCTCCCTGCTGAGACGTAAACAGGCAGCTGTGAGTTTAAATGACAGCTCTAACAGGATACATCCTTGCTGTCTCAGAACTCACTTGAAATCAGGTGGTGTTCATTTCCAAAAGAACAAAGGAGAAGACATTCAAACGCATAAAATTATCACTTACCTGACTGAATTTCTTCTGTGGAAGGGGTGAATATTACACTGGCTGGTACAGAATTTGGTGGAGTATCTGTCTTTAAGGGTATTAAGTTAATCCTCCTAGATTAAGAAGAAGAAGAAAAGGAGTGCATGGTTCATTAGTGTCTGAATTGCTTATGTATGATACTGAATCTCAAAACTACTAAAGGAAGTACTTAAAAATATCAGTTGATCATTATGCAAGGCATTAAACACAATGCTGATATGCCTACTTATTTAGTAACAAAGGATTACCTTCATATATTGAGTAAAACTATCACATGTATCACGGTCAACTTTAACTAGCCATCCGAAGGTTTCAAAACCTGTATTTTGTTATTACCAAGTGTGCTGAGCGCCTGCTAGATGATATATACATGATACCACACATGATTTCTACGTTTGGAAAACTCCCAAACATGGATCATTCTTTTATAAAATCCAGACCCTTAATTTTCAACGACTATTATTAAAAAATATTTACAGCTGTAAGACACTTGATAAATACTTTAGAAGAAATTAAGAGAGAAAAAAAAGTTATCTATCAAAGATATTTAAAAGGACATCTTCCCACTCCCTTCCTCCACCTAAACACAAATAGAAAAATAAAAAATGCATTGTGGGCTGCAGACAGAAACAGGAGATTAAACGGGAGCTGCACACCTGGTCTGTATAACGAATCTGCCCGTGAAGTGATATGAACACAGTCGAGAAAAGAAGCATGGAGCGCTCTATCATCGCCCATCACCCCCACCTCCTCCCTTGTCAAGATCGCTGTCTGCACCCCCCACACCCCCACCCACCTGCAAAGCTCCCAAATCAGTAGACCTGGAACGTTAGGAGAGAGGTGGAGGGATCAGTGGAGAAGGAACTACAGAGTCAGGGGGGATAACTGAATGTCAGAGGGGCAAAGGAAGGAAAGCAAAGGCTAACTGCTGCTCGCCGCTGGAGGGGCAGCCATGCGTTTATGGTTCCCTGGCTGCAGCGTGAGCAGTGAGCTCAGGCACAGATGTCGGCCAGACTGACATGAACGGGGAAGGAACCCACTGTCGCATCACCACGGAGATGATCTGATTATCAGGCCAGAAAGAACTGTTCACCATGAGCCAGTCTGCTGGAAACCCCTACAGTCTTAAGAAGATGCTGTTTGGTTTCCTACATGTGGTAAAGTGCCTGCTACCACCCTGGGGAGGAGAGCAGAGGCAGAGAACAAGGACACTCTTCCTGTGCTTGAGGGACTCCCGCTATAGCAGGGAAAGGAAGCACAAACCAGCACCTGCAATCGAAGTGACGTGCTGTGACAGACAGAAGTGCTGAGCAGCCACAAAGGCCGGGAGTGGAGGAGGGACGCTCCAACAGGTGTCTCAGGAGGATGCTAGCGTCACCAAGGGGAGAAGATACACACCATGTTCTGGAGAAGGGTAAAGGCCCAAAGGTCTCAGAGGGCAGGGTGTACTCTGGGCTGGAGACTGAGGCACACGTGAGCAGGGGAAGAGAGACAATGGTCCAGCTACAGGCTGCAGCCAACCCACAGTCCCTGCACCACCGCACGCAGGAGTCTACACCTTACCCTACAGGCAGGAAACAGGGAACCAACAGAGTCTCTAAGCAAGAACGTGACACTCTCAGATTTGGTGATAAGGACTCTCTCTAGCAGCAGGATGCCCTATGTGCTGTATGGAATCCCCTCTAACAGGTTGGGGTTTTCAGTTTTTACTCAGTGTCTCACACTTCAATGACAATTTCTTGTTGTGTCACCAGCTCTTACCGGGGCGGTGTCTTGCTCCAGGCCTGCAGCGTGTTCAGAGTGACCCTGCGGGGTAGGTGGGCTTTCATGCTGGGACCACTGGGCTGCGGGGTCTTCTTCTCTTCTGCAGACCCTGGCAAGGTGCCTTTGACACCAGGGGTCATTGAGGGCATGTCCTTGACTGCAGGTGGGGTTGGGGACAGCTTGGCCTGAGAGGGGATGGTGCTGGGACTGCTGGGGTCCTGGGTCCTGCTGGTGGGGGTTCCCTCCACCGATCTGGGTCCTGGCGAAGACCCCTGGTGTATCTGACTCTTCGTTTTCTTTGCTGTGTCAGGAGTACTCACGCTCAAAACTGGCTTCTCTTTCAAAGGGATTCCAAGTTCATCCTTCTCAAACGTCACAAATGAACAATAACCGTCTGTGGAAGAAATGGCCAGGAAGGCCCCATCGCTGGACCTTGTTCCCCAAAACAGGAGAGAGAAGTCAGAAACCTTGCCAAGGACCACACACCACAATGTGTCCTCACACGGAAGCTCAGGCAAAATCGCAAGCTTTGTCTGAAGGCAAAAGCCAGGGGAGAAACCATAACTCAAAGGTTTGTGTCAACTCCTTGGCCACGCACATTCCTTTCCCAACCCCATCTCAATTTTCTAAGTCACCGCAGCACACCTTCGCTGGCACCAGAGTTCACCTGAACAAAGGTGAGACAACCTGTGCTTCGAGGTCAAAAGAAAATTAAAAAGAAGAAAAAGGGACTTTGGAAGAGAAAGCCACAGGTTGTGAGTGGCCAGACCTCAGCCAGCACTCACCCTGGGCACAAGTCGGCCAAGGACACTGAATCAGGGAACCAAGAGGTAGCTGAGGGCTGAAGGCAGAAAGGTGCAGTGGCTTCCGCAGGACAGTTCTGGTGCTCCAGCACCTCTGTCTGGGCAGAAAGGCCTTGCGGGTGTGGGCTTTCTCCCGAAGGGGCAGCTCTGCGGGGCCTGCTGATTCCCTAAACAATCAGGGAGCCATGGGGCTGTCCTTCAGTTTACTGAAAACAGATGACCCCCACAGGGAGATCTGAACAGCATCAAAACCCACTGCTGTTAAAACAGGAGGCAAATATTGTGGTAAACTATAAATGGGTTTCCTTTTAATGTTGATTCCTTTAAAAAAAAAAAAAAAGAAAAAAGATAAATAAGGACAAAAAAAGCCATCTTTAGAGACTGGAGAGACCCTGGAAGACATGGCCCCCAGACTCTCTGTTAGCCCAAAACTAAAACCATTCCCAAGGCCAACTCTTCAGACAAAGATTAGACTGGACTATGGGACATAAAATGATACTCGTGAAGAGTGTGCCTCTTAGACACATGAGACTAAATGGCAGCTTCTGTCTGGAGGTGAGATGAGAAGGCAGAGAGGGTAAGGAGCTTGTGGAATGGATACGGGAAATCAGGGGTGGAAAGAAGTATGCTGTCACAGTATAGGGAGAGCAACTAGGGTCACAGAACAATGTATGTATAAAGTTTTGTATGAGAGACTAACTTGAATTGTAAACTTTCGCTTAAAGCACGATGAAAAACAAGAAAAAAAAAAAAGCCATCTTTAGTGATGCAACACTCCCTAATCAAGGGTCTATTCCAGGGTAACACGCACTACATTGCCTGCATTCGCCTGCCCCTATCACCAGCTTATTGTCACTGTTGCTGCTGTCAAGTCGGCCCCAACTCATGGCAACCCCATGCACAACAGGATCGGACCATTGTGATCCACAGGGTTTTCACGGACTGGTTTTTGTAAGTAGATCACCAAGCATTTCTTCCTAGTGCATCTAAGTCTGGATGCTTCAGTGAATCCTGTTCAGCATCATAGCAACACGCCAGCCCCCACTGACAGAAGGGTGGCATCACCAGCGACTCACCATGAAATGTCACTCAGGGTGTGATAATGTATGTTAGACACATAACCAAAAGGGAAAGCCTGCTGGGTGTCATATAAAAGCACGGAGTCTTCCGAAGCCACGGCAAACACCAAGCGGTAGGGCAGGTTTATCAGTTCCTGACCTGGCTCTGGTGATGATTTGTCTGTAGGAGGGAATGTGGGGACAAAGGGCAGAAAAGGAACACGAATAAAAACAAAGATCCCAAAGGAAACAATTCCCTCCAAAAAGCCTTCTCCCAAGGGACATAAGTGACATAATTTTACTAAAAACTAATTCATTTGCTGCTTTACAAAAGAATTCAGTTTTTTGATATCTATTTTATTTATTTATACATAAATATATAAATAACAGAGAGCCACGCAGGAACCAGAGAGGACAGGGTGTCAGGAACCATGGGCACTTGAGGTCCAAACGAGAGAAAAGTGAAAACGACGTGTGAATGAGGCAAGGCAGCCTGAGGTGTCACTTCCTAATAAGGAAAAACAAGGATTCTGAACTGCAGACCTTTTGGTTAGCAGCCAAACTCTTCACCACTATGCCACCAGGATTACTTACAAGCATTTTATCAAAAGATGTTTTAATGTTCCGTTGACTTAATTATATTCATTCACATAAAGGATGAAAAAATTAAAAACAGCATCTGCTTCCAGCCATGAAATAACAGGGACTGGATCTACCCTCCCACCTGAAACAACTAAAATACCAGGCAAAATGTATAAAACGATAGTTCTTAAGTGGCTGGCCATCAGGAAGGACAATCCCTGAGAAATGGGACACAAACGTGGTAAGTCCTTTGAGTGCCTCAGCTCACTGCCGGGAATGTCCAGGCCAGTCAGGGCAGAAGGAACCCAGGCAGAACCCAGTGGGCTCCCCAAGTTAGGAGGAAAGGCTGGAGTGCAGGAAGGTCAAGGCAGCCAGGGATCACAGGGCAGAGTAACAGAGCTGCAGAGAGATCCAGAGATCTGCAGAGTCCCTCTCGACTCTTCAGGTGAGTCCTGATCAGTGCAAGAATGTAAGGAAAGAAAACAGAACAGTCCTTGAAAGACACACAGGGCCAGGAATAGTGTGTCTTCCCACCAACAAGGGTAGAAAACCTCACATTTTACAGTGCACTGGTTACAGTACTCAAAGGCTTTTGCTTCAATAGTGGGGAGAATTAGCCCTATACTAAACACTATTGTTACCCCACCTAACAAAGCAAGACCCAAAAATCAAAATGTTTCCAAGTAACTTAACTGCATCCCAGAATAAAGTTCAAGAATATTTTTAAAAATAGGGAACGGACCCAAGACGGCGGTGTAGTCAGACGCTTCCTATAACCCTCTTAGAACAAAGACTTGGAAAAACAAGTGAGTTGATTATATATGAATATCTAGGAGCCCTGAATGAGGCAAAGTTGAGGAATCAGACTGAGTGGCGGGGGGAGAGGGAGACAGTTTGGAAGAAACCAGCAGCACCAGAGCGGTGGCGATGGGACGGCAACTCTTCAGCCGCGCCAGCAACTCTTCGCACACAGTGAAGCAGGCAAACAGCTGTGCGCGCACTCGGAAAGCAGTTTCTACACTGAGAGAGATCCAGCAGCACAGATTCTGCTTGGACGCTCCGAACCAGTGAAAAGCAGCTCCCAAGTAGCTAAAGATAAGTACATGTGTGTGGCCTTTCGCGGGGATTTAAAAAAAAAAAAAAAAGCCCATTTAGGAAAAACCTCTCTCCCTTTTACCTCCTCCCTCCCCGCTCTGCACCAGGAGTCCACTGGGCCAGAAGTAGATCCCAAAACGTGCCCTGACCCATTCTCCTGGCGTTGGAGAGGAAACAAATAAGCTACTGGCTCTCCCAAGCCAGGAACTCAGGGTCAGCAC